GAGTCATGACACACAGGCTCAGAGAGCCACAGAAGAGCAGCCTTTGAAGTGGGAAGGGGCAGGGTCTCCCTCTCTTTCTATGGGGGCCTCAGTCTGCCGTGGGAGGTCAGGAAAAAGACCAGGAAGTGCCTTGGAAGCAGGTAAAGCAGGGAAGTCACAGCCCCCCCCCCTTCTCCTTAGCCCCTCCCCCAGGCTGGCCTCTGGTTTGAGAACTCACTCTGGAGTAGAGTTTTCCTGTCCACAGCTGAGGGCAGCAGCTCGTAGGAGTTCATCCTGATGCCTGGGGGGGATGGAGAAGTTTTGCTGAAGACCCTCTTATAGTCCAGCATCCTTCCAGAGAGAGGCGTGGCCAATCCCGGAGCCCCTGTGACCTGGGGAGGTTGTGGTGTGTGTGGGGGGAGGTGCTGCTCCCAAACCACGGACTCCAGACCTCTCAGAGACTAGACTGACCCTTCAAGAGCAGCTGGTTAACGAAGCTGAGGCCGATGTCCATCAGCCGGGTGCGCAGCTGGGCCAGGGTCTCTGCCAGCTGGAGGAAGCAATGCTCTTCACAGTTGGTGCCCATCAAGGGTTCCACGCAGGCAAGGAAGTGCTTCAGTCTGGAGAACTCCTGCTGTGCGGGGGGGGGGAGCAGCGAGTACCCCATTAGCCAGGGCTCAGGCACCTGCCAGGGGTGCCTCCACGGGCAGGCGGAGGAGATGCTGCCCCTTTTCACGGGGCGGGCGAGCATCTGTCTCCTCCTAGTTGTTTGGATAGGGCCTTCCCTGGTGCTCTCTCTGCTGGAGAAAACAACCGGAGGATTTCAGGCGAGCCTTTGGTTGCTCATAAAGATCACTGCCAAGTTCATCCTGTTGTCCAGAGAGGGACAAGGATGATCTTTGAAACCAGCCCAGGGCTACGGAGGGCAATTTAAGGAAGGAGATGCGTGCTAAGAGGATCAAGACCCTGTGCATAGAGAAAGTTGCTGCTGCTCTCTGCTCAGCCACCCTGCCCCGCACTGCCTCACCCCTACCTTCCCCTCCACCCCTACCCTTGCAGTAACACCAGACCATAGCCAGGGAGGAAAATGGATTCCAATACATAGACTGGCTTGACCTCACTTCTGGCTGTGGTTTGCAGGGAGATCATTTTACATACTCTGTGTCCCAGGACCCTCCCCATGCTCTCCTGGGACTCAAAAGCGGGAGAGCTAAAGGAAGAGCAGGCAGGACAGCAAAAGCAGCGGGTGTGGTGAGAGCTCAGGGTGCCAACCTGGGGCTCTCCCAGCCAGAGAGAGAGGCGGGTAAGGGGGCTCAGAGTCACACCATGATCACTTTGTCCCAGGTAGGTATGTGTGTGTGTGTGTCTCTCCCAGCCAGAGGGGGGCAAGGGGGTGCAGAGTCACACCATGATCACTTTGTCCCCGGTAGGTGTGTGCATGTGCATGTGCGTGCGTGTGCGTGTGTGTGTGTGTGTGTGTGTCTGTGTCCCAGCCAGAGAGAGGGGGGTAAGGGGTGCAGAGTCACACCATGATCACTTTGTCCCTGGCAGGTGTCTGTGTGTGTGCGCGCGTGTGCGTGCGTGCGTGCGTTCGTGTGCGTTTGTGGAGTGGAGGGACAGGGCCTGGTCTAGAGATGGGGTCTTGCCTGTAGGAACTGCTCGTCACTCCTGTTGGTGAGCAGGCTCTGGAGCCAGACGCTGTCCCCCTCCAGCCTCAGGAGCCGGTTGTGGCTTTGCTGGATCGAGTTGCCCAGCTTTCCCAGGGCAGATGCCTCCTCTTTCTCCACAAAATCCAAGACCTTCATCTGCAGCTGTTTAATCTCGTGAAAGATGTCTGAGAAGCAGTTGTTTACCTCATCTCGCATCGTCTGAGTCAGTTTCTGGGGTGGGTGGGGAGGGAGGCATCCCTGAACCCCGAGCCTACATCCAGCTATCTGGGTCCAAAGCCAAGCCATGCACCCCATCTTTGTGCGCTGCTTCCCCTTCCCACAATCCCCTGTAGCGTCTGGGAGGTCCCATGAGCCTGATGGAGACAGCCTGGGCCTGGGGTGGGGGCAGCCCGCCTTACCGAGAGAACGTTTACTCGTCCCTGGTGTTTCTGGCTGTCCGAGGCGATGATTAGCATCTGGTTCTCCACGCTGGCCTGAATCTTCCGAACCTCCACCTGGAATGTGTGGTGTGCAGGCAGAGTGAGGGGAGGAGGGTCTTGGAGAAACCTGACTGCCCATCCGGGGAGAGATGCGCCCCTTGTGTTCATAGGGCTCAGCGAGCCTAAAACCGGGGCCTAAGGGCAGACGTCCTGTCGTTTATGCTTCTGGTTTTTGCTCTTTCACTGCTGGAGAGCCTGGTTCCTCGTGCATAGGAATCAGTTTCTTCGCTCCTAAGAGTGAGGACCACAGGGCCTCAGGACACAGAAAGGGGCTGGGAAGGGAAAAGACTACACTCTACAGAGAGGAAGTTAACTTGAGCTGTAGTGTGATGGGGATGTCCTTCTGTACATATGTTTCTTTTATGGGTTGATGATTGGCCAGTAGAGAGGCAGGAAGTTTAGGCGGGGCTACGAGAATCAGATCTCCTAGAAAGGGAATTATAAAAAGTATGGTGCTGGGAACTGAACCCAGGTCCTCTGCCAGGACCAGTGTTCTCAACTGCTTCACCGTCTCTCCAGCTCCTCCTCCCCCCTTTCCTGTAGCAGGGTCTCTCACTGAACGTAAAACTAAAGAAAATGTAAAGAGTTAGGAAGCAATGGATGTTTCTTTCTAGGAGCTAGTTTTTAAACGTTTTATCTATTATTTTATGTGTATGGATGTTTTTTGCCGCATGCATGTCTAAGAGGGCTTCTGGTCCCCTGGAACTGGAATTACAGACACCAGTTGTGAGCGGCCATGTGGGTGCTGGGAATCAAACCGGGGTCCTCTAGAAGAGCAGCCAGTGCTCGTAGCTGCTGAGTCATCTCTCCAGATACCCCTTCTATGGCATCTTAAGTCACAGCTGTTTCCTGGGTACCGCTCGAAGGGAGACTGCCGTAGGTAATCTCTCCTACCCCGTCCCCATGTGCTGCTCAGTGCAGATACAGACTTCTGACTGAAACTTGTGCCTTCCTTACTAACTCCACTCACCAATGCCTTCCTGTGCTGTAACATGAAAAGTTATTATTATTGCCAGGGCATGTGTGCACGCCAAGGCTGACATATGGATGTTGGGTCTCGTATTTCACTTTTTTTCCCAAGACAAAGTCTTTCTATGTAGCCCTGGCTGTCTTGGAACACACTCCAGTAGACTAAGCTGGCCTTGAACTCGGAGATCTGCCTACGCCTGCCTCCTGAATGCTGGGATTAAAGGCGTTCACCACCACGGCCAGCCAGACCACTTTTTTTTTTTTTTTTTTTTTTGAGACAGGGTGTCACTATGTGGCTCTGGCTGTTCTGGGACTAACTCTGTAGACCTGGCAGGCCTTGAGTTTACAGAGAGCCACCTGCATCTGCTTCCCAAATGGTGGGATTAAAGGCGTGTGTCCTCACGACCAGCGCTCTCCCTCCTCTTAAATGTAGGCTCTGAGGGTGGAACTTTCCATCATCAGGGTAGAAGGCACCTTTGCCCTCTCGGCCATCCCACAGCCCCTGCCTAACTCTTTGCAGACCGTTCTCCTGTTGCTTACGTGGCCTGGGCCCTCAGACTCCTGCCTTCGAATCCCAAGTATCTGGTGCCGGAAAGCCTGCCCCCACCCCCACCCCCACCCCAGCTGTGTTCCGTGGAGCTCCCCTCCCCCACCCCTCCTCACCTCTTTGCGGGCCCGTTCATCCTCCAGGGGAGCAATGTCATGGTTCTTGTGCTCCTCCAGCAGGCAGGTTCCGCACACGCAGCTGCCCTCCGTGCGGCAGAACAGCTGCCGCAGCCTGCGGTGTTTGCCGCACAAGCGGCTCTTGAGGTCCCACACGGGCTCCAGCAGCTGGTGGTCCTGGAACAACTGGTCCTCCAAGTGGCCGCGCAGGTGCTTCTCGCACAAGGAAGCCACGCACTGCAGGCACGACTTGACCGACCTTAGCTTCTGCGGGGAGCAGAAGTCACAGGGCACATCCGTGGGGCCAGCCAGGTTCCACAAGGGCCCTGAGGTCTGGCCCTTGGCCCGGGCGAAGCAAGCCACCATCTCCCCAAGGATGACATTCTTGCAGAGGCGGGGCCTGGTGGGGAAGGTCTCTCTGCACTGGGGGCAGTAGTATGTCTCGCCGGTGGCAGCCTGGTGGTCCCAGAAACTCTGGAGGCAAGTCATGCAGAAGTTATGACCACACGCGGTGGTGACAGGGTTTTGAAACACCTCCAGGCAAATGGGACAGAGGACTTGGTCTTCCAACAGGCGCTGGCCGCTGTTGGCGCTCACCAGGGCCCGGATTTGAGAGCCTCTGCAGGACTGGGAAGAGCGCTGTGTGGGGACCTGGTCCTGGGCTGATCCTGAAAAGGCAGAGAATCCGAGCATAGCAGGGAGTAGGGGCGGGACCACACCAGGGACATGGTGGTTACACCACAGGCATGCTCCTTGTTCTCAGAAGCAGCTGTCTGACCATGGGTACCAGGGCTGTGTCATCAGCCAGCCTCCGTGGGGGTGGACATGAGAATCATGTTTCCTGGTCTCAGCCCCAGCAAGGAAGGACAGGATGGCAGGGGGAAGGTGCCTCTTCCTGGGCACTCGGGAGGGGAGGTCAGAAACTGGAACTCACGTGAGACCTTCTGCATGTCAACCAGAGTCAGAGAGTTTGCTGTCCTGTGACAAGAGGAAAAGGCCCACAGACACTCAGGTCAGGACCTGGCCCAAGCCTCACTCAGCTGCTGAGTGTCCCCCGTCTGTCCCCTTGTGTCCTACCTCAGGGCTGATGACGGCCACCTTCTCACCTTCCCCTGTGGCTGAGGTTTCATGGTCTCCCTTCCCAGATGCCTACTTTAAGGATGGTCCAGGTTGTGCTGATGTCACAATTCAGGTGCACCCAGCTCCTGCATCCTGCCTGTGATGTCATCAGGGCACAGGTGTGCCACGGGGCAGCCTGCAGTGCTGTGCAGAGCTGATGCGTTTTCCTTCTCCATGGATGGGAGCTCAGCTGCAGAGTCTCCCTCTCCCGGGGGCAGAGTAGCTGCTGGTGGCCAGGCCTGCTGCAAGCGGGCATAATATCTGCTCATGTTTCTGACCAAGGCAGGAGAATGGCCTGTGAGCAGCAGGAGGGGCTTGGGAGCTTTTTTTCCTCTCTCTGGAGTGTGATTCTTGTGAATTGAAAGGACAAGGCCTCTTCTTGGCCTAGCATGCAATCCAAGCATCATTCTGGTACTCTTCCTCTGCCTCTCCTCTTCTTCAAAGGTTTGTCTTTTTATGTATGAATGTTTTGTCTGCTTGTGTGTGTGTGTGTGTACACCACAGGTATGCAGTTCCTGATTCTTCCTCCTCCTCTCCTCTTCTTCAAATATTTGTTTTTATTTTATGTGTGAGTGTTTTATCTGCCTATGTGTATGTATACCACATGCATGCAGTTCCTTGGGAGGCCAGAAGAGGGCATCAGCTCCCTTGAAACTAGTGTTGCAGATGATTGTGAGTCACTGTGTGAGTGTTGGGAACTGAACCCAGGTCCTCTGCAAGAGCAGCAAATGCTCTTAACCATTGAGCAGTCTCTCCAGGGTCCCCCTTTCCTCCTCTCCCTCTTCTCCATGGGGTGATCAAACCCAGGGCCTTACACATGCTAGGCAAATGCTGTACCACAGTTACATCCTCAGCCTAGCCCCAACCTCATCTGGATGGGTTATTCTGTCTGCTTTCGTTTTATTTGCAACCTGGGAAGGAGGGCTCAGGGATTCGGAAGCTAAACAGAGCCGCCATCACCCCTGTCTAGTGGCTTGAGTCTTATCTCCTGTCTTTCTGAACCCCACAGGAGAAAGCTCTCTAAGAAGTTATAGTCTGTCAGTCTGCCTCGAATCACTAGCCTGACTCCTCTCGTTGTGCCAAGTTGGGGAACAGAAGGCAGCCCTCCCTCATTGTGGGTTCAGAGGAAGCATGTCAGCATCTTCTAATGACGGTGTCTGCTGCAAGTCCTTTGTAGAAATCTTGTGAGAGACTAATGGGGTTCTTTTTCTTTGGGGTGTTGGGCTTGGTGTACACTGAATGCCAGCTTTTCACACGCTGGACTTTGAAAGTTTCTGAATTCACACTGACAAAAGATGCGGAATGTATTCAGGACCTCGTGGCAGCCCTCAGCTGCCTGGCCTTACGCAACTTCACTGAGGTCTGCACACACACCACATGCGGTTTGCTCCATGTCATCCCACACAGAACCACAAACACTGCCTCACACGCCTCTCTGATGGGAGACTGTTGTATGTTGTGAACTGCAGTGTTTTGACTGTACATATGACGCTGTTTCGCTCTTATGGAAACACAGTGCTTTAATTACAAAAATACATTTTACTACTGCGATCCTCAGCAGGCATCAGATCAGGGTTCCATTAGAGCGTGGTGTTGAGGTTTGAAACGGTGACCCAGTGCATGCTGGGTAAGTCCAGATGAGCTGAGGTATTTTCTCAGCACTCTATTTAGTTTCTATTTCATAAAAGGGTGAAGTTGCCCGGACTGGCCTTGAGCTCATGGCATATCTAAAGATAGCCTCAATTCCCATCCTTCTGCTTTAGCCTCCCATGTAGATGACATGAGGGGTATGCTAGTCTTGGGCCCAGCTCCTCACCGCCCCCAAGTATGTTTCACCATGTTGTCCGGCAGGATCATCCTGCCTTAGTTTCCAGTGTCTGGCACTCCAGGTAGATATGGCTGCCTTTGGATTTTTTTTGTTTTGTTTTCCATTCTAAAATGTTTTCTATTCTAAAAATAATAGATTGCATTTATTTTTATGAATAATCCCAGCTCTCACTCGGGAGGCAGATGCAGGCAGATCTCTGAGTTCGAGGCCAGCCTGGTCTAGTGAGTTCCAGGACAGCCAGAGCTACGTAGTGAAACTCTGTCTCAAAATAATTCAAAAGATTCAAGGGGATGGGAGGATATGCACAAATATTTAGCCACTATGTGTGAGGACCTAGATTTCCCATCACCACAGAAAAAAGAGAAAATAAAAAACAATTCAGGTTCTGATTTCAGTGAAACTCATACAGCACTATGTTCCTGTTGCTAGGCTGCAGGAGGCTCACCATGGCTGGCTGGGTCATAGTCATCATGTATTGAGTACCGTAGGGGAGAAATGAGGAGGCAATCTGAGGCCAAGGACAATGCTGTATTCCTTCAGAACAGATTAAGATTTCTGGGGGGCTGGAGAGATGACTCAGTGGTTAAGAGCGCTGGCTGCTCTTCCAGGGGATTGGGGTTCAATTCCCAGCACCCACATTAGGCTGCTCACAACCACCTGTAACTACTTGGTGATCCCAATATCCTATTTGGCCGTCAAGCACACACGTGGCGCGTAGACGTATATACAAGCAAACACCCACACGATGGTGGCATGCGCCTTTAATCCCAGCACTCGGGAGGCAGAGGCAGGTGGATCTCTGTGAGTTCGAGACCAGCCTGGACTACAAGACCTAGTTCCAGAACAGCCTCCAAAGCCACAGAAAAACCCTGTCTCGAAAAACCAAAGGAAAAAGACCAAAAACTAACCAACCAACCAACCAAACAAACAAAAAACTAGGGTCTGTAGAGATGGCTCAGAGGTTAAGAGCACTGTCTGCTCTTTGGGAGGTCCTGAGTTCAATTCCCAGCAATCATATGGTGGCTCACAACCATCTGTAATGAGATTTTGTGCCCTCTCCTGGTGTGCAGACAGAACGCTGTATATATAGTTAAGTCTTTTTAAATTTTTTTAATTTAAATAAGACTCTTGCTGGAGGCCATGGGCACTGAATTCCCGAGGCACCTTGGTCCCACTAGAGATGAGTAGAACCCCAAGCCTCCCTCCAGTCCTGGCAAAGGCCTCATCTGCTCCCGCCTCATCCTGCTCAGCTGTGCGCTCAACCCACAGCAGAGGGCTTTCTCCAGTGGCCCTGACCTGGCATCCCTGGCTCTCCGTTTTCCCTCTCTCCACCCCTGGGAGTGAAGGAGAGCTTTGTGCGCCCTGGCTGTCGGAATTAGCAGATACCAGCAGAAACGCGGGCTCTAAACACAGCGCGTGCCTCTTGTGAGTTTTCTTCCCCTGGATTGAGTCCTTTCTTTGCTGGACCAAGCTCTTGAGCCCCAACACACGCTGTTTTCAGAGTCATCCTGCCCTTGGCTATCAGTACCGCAGTGTCCACTGCCTCCCCACTGGCCCGGTTTCTCGGGTTCCACCACTGCTGTTTAAATGCCCACACGGAGAGCCTCACAGAAGCGAGGCACAGCGGGCAAGCAGATGGTCTGACCCTCCCGCGGGGAGCCGGGTCACCTCCCTTTGGATCTGCCTGCCACCACTTAGTTTACCGTTTGTTTTCCATCCCCTGCCACTTCCTTTTCTTGCCTTTTACAGATTTCTGTCCCCTCAGAGTTCCATCCCAGGACATTCACCCGCACTGTCAAGGCATCTCCCCGACGATGCCAGTCTGTGTGATGGGGCCGGGTGCAGGGCTGAAGATTTCAGGCCCTCCCTGCTTGAAGAGCCCAGAGTGAGAACTGCAGTTGGACCCGGAGCACCTGAAGGCGGGCCACATCACTGTGCCGGGAAACGTGAATCGCACCCACCGATTCGGTAATGTTCCTGCGCCACCACGGAGCCAGCCTCTGCTGAAGGTCTGGCTGTGTGACTGAGCACGTGTCCTCTCCCTCTCTTCCCACCTCCCTGCTGGATGTAACTTGGCCCAGAGGGAAGGACCTGGACCCGCCACAAGGGGGAGCCGCGGCGGAGCCTGAGAGGAGGACTCACGCTTTTCAATGGAGCCGCATACCCTTGGTATGGCTGTGGTGAACGCGGGGACAGAAACAATCTGCCACGCTGAGGTCACTGCCTCTGGCATTTATGAAGGTAGCAGAAGGCAGCAACCCAAACAACGGCTTAAGAACGCTCTACTTGTAAAAATAATAAGTTAATTAAAAGATAAATGTAAGCCAGGCAGTGGTGACACACACCTTTAGTCCCAGCACTCAGGAGGCAGAGGCAGATGGATCTCTGTGAGTTCGAGGCCAGCCTGGTCTACAGAGCGAGTTCCAGGACAGCCAGGGCTGCTACACAGAGAAACCCTGTCTCGAGAAACCAAACAAATAAACAAACAATAAAAAGAAAGCTCTACTCTACTTGGGCAGCCAAGCCTGATGACCCGAGTTTGATTCCCGGTACCTTCATGGTGGAAGGAGAGAGCTGATTCTTGAGTGTCTTGTGACAATATTATTTTAAGGTGTGTGACTTTTGTTTATGCTGCATTTGATTAACTCTGTGAAGCTGTATTACTTTGCCTGCCTAAAACACCTGATGGTCTAATAAAGAGCTGAACGGACAATAGCGAGGCAGGAGCAAGGGCGGGCGGGGCTGGCAGGCAGAGAGGAGAAACAGGAGAACCGAGGAGGAGGAGGAGCAGTGAGAGAACTAGGAGAGGAGGCCATCAGGGGCCAGCCGCCCAGCCAGCCACGGAGTAAGCGTGACAGGAAGATACGCAGACGTAAGAAAGATAAAAGCCCAGAGGGGAAAAGTAGATGGGTTAATTTAAGAAAAGCCGGCAAATGCACACATGGTCCAAGACCCAGTGCTTGTTTCTTTAGTGACAAAACAGTCGCATTTCAGACTTGTTCAGACCCCTGAGCAGCCACTAAGGACAGCAGTGGCTGGCATGGTCCCAGAAGCGTGGAACAAAGGCCATGAGGAACGTGTGGACGTCCCTTTGGGCCTACTCCTTAGCATGTCTCATCACTCCCTCCCCACACACTGCTGACAGCCAAAAGTCGCCTGAGAGGAGGCTGGTCCCATCAAGGGACAAGAAAACGCAGAAAGACACCCCCCTCCCGTCCGGCAGTCCTGGGGAACAGTGGCGTGTAGGCCGCAGCATCCCCAGTTGAAGAGCGGCAGTGGTCACAAGACTCCAGCAAGGTTTGCAGACACAGAGTGGTTCAAAGAGAGCAGTGAAGCCATCAACACTTGCCCTCTGGGGGTGAGGGGGCACTGGGCCTGCCTCTGGGGGTGAGGGGGCACTGGGCCTGCCTCTGGGGGTGAGGGGGCACTGGGCCTGCCTCTGGGTTCAGGCTTGAGGCTCAGGTGGTATTGTTTACACAGGACCAGCTGGGGCTGTCTGGAATGTTCAGGCTTGACTAACGTCCCCACTCCCCACATCCCTCACTTGCTGAATGTGTGACTAGAGGCACCAGGCCTGTCCAGGGTGCTGGCCTCCACAGACCACCTGGTGCCTGAGCAAAGCTGAGGGACAAGGGGGGCTTCACAGGGTAAGCGAACAAGAGGCTCCAAATGAAGTGCTGCCTCTCCCAGCTCGACACCACTTGCTGATTTGGTCAAAGGCCCCTTTCCTAAGCTCTAGTTATCTGGGCAGAGCAGCTTGTCCATCCCCTCGAGTTCTCCTTGAATACACACAACTTCTCTATTTTCTTTCTTTTTTTGGTTTTATGAGACAGGGTTTCTCTGTATTGTTTTGGAGGCTGTCGGTTCAGCCTGGCCTCGAACTCACAGAGATCCGCCTGCCTCTGCCTCCCGAGTGCTGGGATTAAAGGCGTGCACCACCACTGCCCAGCCTTCTCTATTTTCTTGAAAGAAGCAACAGGATGGATATCTGGGACCCTCCAGAAGGTGGACCACTTTTCCTGAAGGCAGGTCATCTAACATGGTGTGGCTGTCAAGGTGACACAGCCAGCTGGGTAGAGGGGCCCCCACTAGTTGACATGCAGGGGCCTTGAGCAGATTCACCCCTCCGCTACACTGCAGACACAGAGAAGGAAGAGACTGCGGGAGAGCAGAGAGGCCAGCTGGGCAGTCAGCCCCACGATGAGACAGCTGGTACAGAAGGCTGCCTTTCTAGAAGTCACTCCCCTCGAGCCCGTGGTAAGCAGCTGTGCTACAGGATGCAGAGATTCCACTGCATAAGCACTGAATTCTTGTCTGCCAACATCGAATGCTCAGGACTAAGTGGGGGGCGAGAGGTGGAGACGCAAGGAGTGCCACACACACACTCACACACACACACACACACACACACACACACACACACACACACACAGCCGGGGATGATGCTTCAGGGCTGCTTTGCCACAGTTAGAAACCAAGGACACAAGTACAACCTATCAGTCAGTGCATGTTCAAGACACAATCACAAAAACACTACCAGCACTTTTAGCTATGACAACAGGACACATTTGGCAGCTTCCACAGAAACAGCCTTCCTCACCCCAAGCCATTACAGAGGGTCCACAAAGTCCATTCTCTTTGGTCCAGTTCAAGAAGCTGGGGGAGGAAGACGGGGCCAACCAGGTAAGAAATGCAGAGGCAGTTACAGCAACTGCTTAGTACCGTCGTCTGTCCAGCCCTGTTTAGGGTACACAACCTCTAGCCCCTGCACGAGGCTGGGCCACCTGGGGCCCCACCGTGGGACAGACACTGGGTGAAGCCACTCATGGGAACAGGGCGGTGCTCAGAACCGGGAGCGGCAGCCACCACACTCCCAGCACGGCACAGGACACCTCATCCTCCTGCCTTCGAGGCTCTGTTCATAGGATTGTGGGTCCTCTGGCAGCTCTAGTCTGTACCCCAAACCTCGATTCAATGCACTGAGGCTGGAGTCCTCTACACCCAGCCAACTTCAAAAAATGCTTCAGTCAGGGAAGAATGGTCACGGAGCTGCCAATGTCCATCACGGCACACGCAGGCTGAGACCAGGGCACAGCTCAGGGCCAGCCTCCTTCCTCTACTCTAGCTTCCTTGGCGTCTAGACGGCTTTCAAGGAGCTAGACCCTCCTCCTTCTCCCCTAGCTCCCCACAAGGCTCCAGCCAGGGACCCATTCCAGATGCTGCTGTGAAGGTCTGTCATAACACTGGCTAGAAAACAAAAGCAGGGTTCTGGAAAGGGGCCGTAGGGCCGGAGGCACACTATCTTCGGTCGAGGCGGGCGGGGCTCCTCTGATTTGAGCGGACACCACTTCTCTGGGACCAGGCAGCTTCGCAGTAGCTCAGTTACTGTACAGGTGCAGGATTTCCCGTCACAGCTGCTCGCCCATCGCTCTCTTGCCTTCAGGGTTCTGGAACCTCAAATTCTCTGTTTACATCCGAGAGCCTCTCTCCTGAAGAATCTAAAAGTGAGGATGGCAGAGACAGTCAGCTGAGCATCTGCTGAGGGGAGGAAAGACCGAGAGGTTGGGGTGGGGCTCAGGTAAAGCGTGTGCTCAACCTGGACAAGGCTGGGTCTCCGGCACCAGCATGTGGTGCAGGGATTGAAACACATACAACTGGTGACAGTGAAGTAAGCTAGACATCGTAATGATTTAAAGATTAAAAATCTCCCAGCGGCAGCGGCTTCCTCTGGTCCTGTGGACAGCTGTTGTCAGCCCATGTAGCAAGGCAGGCTTGGAGCCTCCACCTCACCGGGTGCCTGAGTGCAGAGAGCTCTCTTGCCAAATACAGGCCAGGTTGTTGTGGAGCAGAAGGTTGTGTGCTGTGGGATCAAAGTTTTCTAAGTTAAAGATCCCAGTTCTCGGTCACTACAGTCAGGCTCTCCGGAAGCGTGAGTGTGTTTGTGGGGCAGCGGGGGAAGAGGAGGGAATAACCGGCTGTCAAGGAGCAGGGCAGACACTGCCTGACTGAGCCGGGCAACACTGAGAAGCACCAAGGTACAAAACCCCCAGCTTCTTCAACACCGTGACTGACAGGAGGCAAAGCCACCCTCGTCCAGGCACAGTTCCCATCACAGTGCAAACCCCAGCTTCTTCAACACCGTGACTGACAGGAGGCAAAGCCACCCTTGGCCAGGCACAGTTCCCATCACTGATTTATGAATTCTGACTGTTGGCTTTTATGTGTGTGCGTGTCTGTGGGTGTGCGTGTTTGTGTGACAGCCAGAGGTCCAAGCGGGCGTCTTCCTCTATCACTCTGTACCTTATGGTTTTCTTTTTGGAGACAAGGTCTCTCACTGAAGCTGGAGCTCACCAATTTGGCTATGTTTGCCGTCTCCTACAAATCCTGATTTAAATCCAGCAGCCGAGAGAGGAGGAGAGAAAACTCATAGTGGGAAAAGGAACGGAAGGAAGCCAGGGGCAGCTTGGGCAAAGCTGGACAGAGCCGGACACAAAGGAGGCGGAGGGCAGTCTGGGGAGGGGAAGCCATGTCTTACCTTGGCCTTTTCGCTCGGCTCTATGACGATGCCATTGGTAGAGTTATTTAGTTCTCTGGAGACAACACAGAGGAACTCTGCCTGGTCTTCATTTCCATAGTTATAGGAGGAGCCAATGCTGATGAGCTGGGAAGAGAGCAGGATGCTGACTGCTCACCCACACAAGCAAGGGCTTAGCACACCTTCATCCCAGCACTGGGATGCAGAGCTGAGCACACCTCTCTGCATCCGAGGCTAGTCTCATCTATACAGTTTCAGGGAAGCCAGCGAGTTTAGTGAAACCCTGTCTCAAAAAAAGCAATCAAGGCCGGTCGTTGGTGGCGCACGCCTTTAATCCTAGCACTCGGGAGGCAGAGGCAGGCGGATCTCTGTGAGTTCGAGACCAGCCTGGACTACCAACCGAGTTCCAGGACAGCCTCCAAAGCCTCCCTTCAGCCCCGTCTGCTCCCGCTGGCTCTTTCTCTAGACCAGAGACCAGAACTCAGAAAGACCTGAGGTACCAAGTGGACCACTCTGCAGCCACTAGAAGCTACATGCCATGGTACTTTAGCCCTTTTGGAGAAACAGACTCAGCTGTAGCTCTAAACTGGAAGTTGGGAATCTGCATGAAGAGCAGCTTGGCAGCGCTGGTGCAGTGTCATAAGCACAGGGCTGAGGTTGCGGCATCCCGCTCAGGACGGCGCCCCCACGTCCAACTCCTCATCCACACCTGGAGACAGCGAGAGCACACTTCATCCTCCTTCAGGGCTACGTGCGGCTCACTGGCAGGACACCCCTAGGCTGTGCGG